AGCGAGTGATAAGCATATTACAACATCGTTCCCAAATCACATGCTCAGCAGATCAATAAAATGGTAGTAGGGAACCGAAGGAGGTGGTAACTTAACTTATTTACTTGTTTAAGTAGTTAATTACTAACTTAATTAAAAACGTATTTACTTACCTAATAGTCCACTAATTCCTCCACTTATTTCCATGTTTACTTAATTAGCTACTTACCCGTTTATTTGCTCAAATTGCTTATTTAATTCCTAAAAAGCTTACTTACGTAGTTACCTACTTGCCTACCTGCATGCTCAGTTACTTCATTAAACACTTCTTCATACGCATATCTACTTCCTCTAAGTTGCTAAATAGCTGATTTATTCACTTATTTAGATAATTACCAACATACTTTCTTACTGACCTACTCACTTACTTAAGCATATTCGATGTACTTCGCTAGCACGTTGTCAAGGTAAAATGGTAAAAATAATTCTGACCACAAGTCATATTCTGGTTTTCTCAATTTTATCTGCACCATAGTACCTTGGCAGCGAGCTAAAAACAGCTCAAAACGTCAAGAATATCTTAACTGAAAAATGAAATGAAAAACTGTATATGCGGTACGATACAGCTGTGGCGCGTTGGCACAGTTGTCTAAGAGATCTGCTTCAAACACTGAAGGTGCCGGGTTCGATTTTACTCTAAGGCAATCGTTATCTTATTCAGTAATTTCCTTGAGCAAAGAATTTATCACCTTGCCTCAGATTGGAGTTGCTCAGTCGCTAGCTCGTCGAATTCAAATCGATAGGTGCTGCTGAAGCCCCAGTCTGGGTCTGCCGCCCTTCTTCCTTCCAAGGTTGATAAACAGGTACCATGCTGTGGGAGGAACACAGTGGATAACATGCTGTACTTACCAAATGGCTATAAATCCTGCCAAAAAACAAGGCACACCTGGCTGATAGCAAAAAAACGGAGATCAGCTCCGCACAATCAACTTCATGAAAGGAAGACCGCCAAAATGTCCAAATCATGAAAGGGCCCAAAGACCGATGTTCCTAACTAGCTGCCGTCATTCAATCTTTGACTTATTATAATCTTCGGTTCTTCCCTTCCATATCCTTATCCGCTAATTCCTCATTTATTTCCTCGCATTATTCCTTCTTTCCGTCCTTCCAACTTTACATCCATTCATCCTTTCTTTCTTTAGTTTTTCGTTTAATGCTTCTTTGCCTCTCAGCGCCACAAACACTATGCTATTTCAATTTGAAACTGCCAAGAGCAAAGAAAATAGGTGATATACTTTAAGGCCAGCTTCTTACTAACAAGGTCGGCGTATTTATAGGCCCCGCCGCCGGTAACCTTCAGAATATTGTCCGTCGTTTCATGTCTGTTCCTCCTGGAGGCACAGATCTTTTCGTTAATGAAATCCAAGAACGACTCGATATACTTTGTTTCGAACTTGTAAAAGTGGAGTCGGATTCCATTTGATTCCTGTGAACTAGACGTCTAGAAAAATAGAGGATAAATGCTATAAATTGCAAAGCACTGTGTTATTCATAACAATATGCTTCAAAATGGGCACGATAAGTCTGGTACTGCAATAAAGTACAATAACCATATACTCTAATACAGCGTGACAATGTTTCCAATAAGCTACGTTGAGTGATACCCTATCAGACATTACAAATCTGGACTGCACTCTTCTCCAAGTTTGTTAGTAACGACAAGAACGTTAACTGTACAGGATATCGCATGTTATCGTTAGATTGCACGACACTGCAAGAGAATCCCATGGTCGCGAACGAGCGTGAGCACTAGGCGAGAAAACAAAGCCTCACCCAAAGAAC